ATCGCTTTCCCTTTCCCCCTTCCCCTTCCCTCCTCCTCCTGACCCTGTCTCTCGTCGTCTCGACAGCGACTACGATTGCGCGGTGGGGCTATCGTCGGCGGTGGCGAAAACAACAATGGAGGATGAGCAAAGGACAAGATTGAATCCGGGAGAAACCAAAAGGTGACAGATTATCAAAGGAGTTTGATGAGGTGAATAGTCATGACAGCCACTTGGGTCTGGTGGAGGGGTCATTGTGGTGAAGAGGTCAGTTTCAATGGATTCTCCATTTCGAGAAATTGAGTTTTATTATGTTATTTTTTAATTTTTTTTATTCAATTCGACTTTATCGCACCCTCGTCCCCCGGAATTCTTATTTGGCATTTCATCCGGGTATATTTGGGATTATCTGGTCCGGAAGACGCCGCCAAACACCGGATAAGACGATTTGCTATCCTATCCGGACTCAAAATTCGAATTACCCAACGCAGCCTATGACGCTCGATGAAGTTAGGCATTCAATTCGTGAGTTTTCTCACTCTCCAAGCGATCGTTGCCCGTCATGTGATGAATTAATTGCGAAATTGGGAAGGAAATGAACGAGGGTCATGGAATTTCAATACTAGTACCTCCCCCCTGTGGAACCCGCCGACCATAGGACTGTTTCTGAAGATAAGATCTAACATTAAAATGTCCTCACATCGAGAAGAGGTCAGCGAAAAACGTACACGTGGAGTTTCAAGTGAAGACTTTATTTAGCGATCGGAAGGTGACATTCACATGTCCCGTAGCATTTGGGTCTGCTCAATTTTAGATTTGAATTTGAAAGGTATGTTCGTTCCGCAGGAAATAAGTAATTTGGTAAATATTTTCCAAATAGTGATCGCTCGTATCATTTAGAAAAAACTAGTCAACGGAAAATATTTTCATCATCGATAATAATATATGGTTAATTATTTTCGTGGGCAATGAAAAATATTTTCATTCAATTATTTTCTTAAACGATACAAGCGGCTATTTTTCGGAAAAATATTTTTCAAAATCACTCATTTTCCGCGAAACGAACGCACCCGAAGAATCCTTTTATCGCGAATCATTCGGTCTTGTTAATTTCCACCGATGCACGTGAATCGCCCTTTTCACCTACAGCAGTCGAGGATTCGCCCGCACCGTGGCGACGGGCGCGACCTGCAGTGTTATTCAATCAAACCGAAAATTGTACCAAAAAAAAAATCTCGATCCGATTAATAAAACCCAGAGCATGCTTTGTTACTCATCTAGTGATTTCATTGATGGCGCAAGGTGGTTGGTGGTCGTTCGTCCATCTTCGAGAGATCGACAAGCGATGACGGGCGCTTCGTGCTCCAATTGACAAGTCCCCCGGTTAACTTTTTCGTCACTCGAATGCCTCTGTCCTAATTATTGGTACGAGAATTCGAGACCCCTTTTCTTCCCTTGACGACAGCGACGCACCATCAAACCAATATGCGCGAAAAACAAAAAAAATTCACTATTGATCTTATCTCCTCCTCATTCCTATCGTGTCCACGTCGACCCCTTTACACGTAACTGCATCACGTTCCAAAATCCAATTGAAATTCCGATCGCTATGCGTCGATCTGGCGTCGATCAAGGCCTCCCGCATGCACGTCGGCATCCAATTCTCTACTGATGGTCGCACGCTGGTCTCGCTTCTACTAGCTTTCTAGGACGGTCCACTTGCATTATTTTGGGGGACAAATGGCTCGTCACCCGTCGTTTTAAGCGGGGTCCGCAACTTTCGTGAAGTCTCGTATCGAGACGAACGAGCTCGTGGCCTCAAGCTGTGAAGCTGTACTATTTACTAATGTCAGCCAAAAAAAAAAAACACGCAACTTGATTGGGTAAGAAAGTATGTTCCTAGTCCCTATTCATTTATTGATGTCAATAATATTGGTCAGAGTAGTCCACCCCATAAGAATTATGCAAATGCCTAAATCTTCTAATCAATGTCGTAATTATGAGAATGATTGGGCTGATGTAGGTCAAAATAATCAAATTGGTGATAATAATTTGACAAATCAAATTAGTTAGCAGGCCAGTCAATTATCAAATGTCGAAGACGTAAGGCTAGTTCCACCCAATGTGGATATTCCCATTAGGCCTAACATGCCGATTAACGTTCACAAATTTGGCAAGACCAGCATTACCACCTATGGGACAAAATGGGGTTGAACCTAGCATAGTTTGTCGAAGAAGTTCGACAAAGATTAAGGTTAGACAGTATGGGTCGATAACTAGCCTTTTCCACAAGGCTTTGAAAGCCCTGAATTTGCCTTTTTACTGGCGAATATGAACAATCGAATATTGAATACATGATACATAGCCCCGTGCCGAGAAACTGGACAAATGAGCTTTTAAGACTAATATTATTTCCTTTGTCATTATCGAAAAGTTCTTTTTATGACATCAGGCTTCATGGTTGATTAAGTTCCGTCAAAGTGTACTTGTTCCTCGTGTTCCGTTGATACAACTCTAGTCCGGAATCATCACAGAACCTGTCTTCTCTTAAAAAAAAATCGAAGAACAAGTTTTCGGCAAAGGGTACTTCATCGAAGATACGACATCGGCGAAATGCCTCAACATCCATTGCCACCCGCCGGCACACCCCGAGCATTCTCTTCGATCGATCGACTCGCCGGACTTTATATACTTCTCCTGCCATCCATCTGATCGCGACCGCGACATAAAATTGTGTCCCGTTGCGGACCAAAGTTCAAACCGCTCCCGTCCATGTGACGAACCGGCAACCCCGCAAGATAGAAAACTTCAAATTGCGATCGAAATCGCCTCCCCCGTATAAGCACGGCTAATCTTAGGACCGTCCCCAAAATATTCAACGCGCAGGTCGATCCATTGAAACCTGCGGGCATGCTTTTGTTATCAATTGATTGATTCATTAATGGCGTAGAAAGTGAGGTGGGTCGTTTTGGGCTCCAGTTCGGATGTGTCCCATTTTACCTTCTCTTCTCTCTATGGCTTTGTCCATATTCATAGGAGATAATCTGACCATTCATCTCAAATTTTCATAATCTGGTCATTTCTACTGGCTTTCCGGCCCAAAATTTACTTGATAGACTCAATTGGAAAATTTTGTAAATATTTAGGACTCAATCGACACGTTTAGAACTAAATTGATATAAGTGTAACGGGTCTAAGGCCGTTTTGGTAATTCTCCCCCGCTTCTTACGTCCGAGAGTTGGTCCCGACATGAAATTGGTCGGACCGATTTTTCAAAACTGCTTACGCCCGCGCGATGAGAAATCGACAACCGCCGCAGGTCAGAAACTTCGAACCGCGACGGAATCGCCTCCCCCGCATGAGCGCCCGCCTTGACCTTTTAGAGTCCTCAAAATTCAACGCGCGGTTAGATCATAATAATTTGAGGAGTCAAGACATAATTATAAACAAAATAAAAAATTAAAAAAAAATCCGGGCGGTCAAAAGTAGGGATCATTTTATTCTCCGCTTTGGCCATGATTTGATCGGAGGAGCCGAAAAAAAAAAACGAAACAAAGAAAAAAAAAAAACGAAATGGCTGTCCCGACAAAGAAAGAGGGGTTGAAAATGTGACATGTCCCACGCGTACGAGGCTTTAGTTTTGGTTCGGTGCTTAATTATTTTAATAGGGAAATTAAAGATAGATGAGCCAAAAAAAAAAGATTAATATTATCAGGAAAAATAGTGAAAAAAGCGTGTGGAGCCATTAAGAGCCGGCCTTTTTGCCACGTGTACCGACCTCGCCGAGAAAAAAAAAATTTGTCGTCCGTACCCGTTTTCGCGGATTTATTTTGTTTTTATATTTTTGGTTATTCGTGACACGCGCCGATCGACTCGACTGGTTCATACGAAATCAACTCGTTCACGTGCATGAAAAAGACTTTATCCAAAAAGTGGGGACCGATTCCCAATTTACTCTATCTCGAGGACACTGTATTTTAAACCCGTGAAACCTTGTTGACACCGTATTTTTGTTTCGACTGATTTCCGATATCTTATGCTCGATTATTTGATTAACCGCGATAATTTCTTAAAGGATGACCGTTAGATTCACTGTCCGTGTGAAATATAACTGTTCGTAACCGAATTTTTCTATCTATCAGTCATTCAATAATAGAGCGTACATCATTTCTTGCACAAACAATGAAATTAATAGTAATCCTTTTTTACCAAGTACACGAAGAATCACAATAATTGATGCGGAGTTGCACTTCTGGTTCTTCCTAATTTTTTTTTTATCTGACTTTAATTCTCGACTCATTCTTAAACTTTTACCCCGTTTCTTCGAAGAGCGTGAATCGAAACTAAACGTCCCCACCCTTAACCCCATGAGAAGGTGGAGAATCGAACTCTTCACCTCCACCTTCTCAAGTAGGAAGAATGGCCACTAGGGCAAACCCCAGTGGCTAGTTCTCCCTTAATTAACTTGGTTCGATTGGAGACTTGCGGAGGCTCGATCACGACATAAAATCGGAACCTTTGGAATCGTCTCTAGATGTGGGGACTCAATGCGCACCTACTACTATTCTCAATGTGTACCTCACTTCGACCCGGTCCCAACCGGGCGAGACGAAATTTCCACAGGCACGGGCGCCGAAGCCGCTCGCGCCGGTATCGGATTTCATGCCGGCAGGGTTTCCGGAAAAAAAACCCCAATGGTCCGGGCCGGGGGTCGCGACGCGCAGGCATCGCCGAAGCCAGATCTCCCGGAGCTCCGTCCCTCGTCTCGAACCCCGACGCCGGCGATGCCGCCGGAGCCCGGGCCTCCGCCGGGGCGCACGGAAGCGCGCGGATCCTTCCCCCCCCCCCCGCCGTTCGGGGCGCGAGAGTGGAAGCAGCACCACCCAGCAACAGAAAAAAAAGAAAAAAGAAAAGGGGGGGCGAGGGCATCTTCTCCCCTCCTATAGGTGCGGGACACGCGGCGTACAACGGTGGGCCCCTCCCTCCTCTCTCTCTCTCTCTCTCTCCTCTCCTCCTTTTGAGCGATGATTGATTGTGCGTGGGTGTACGCCATTACCATATGCCGTGCCACACCGCATTACCACCCACAAAACTCTTCTCCCTTTCTCTGTCTCTACACTCCAACTGAGAAAGAGAGAGAGAGAGAGAGAAAATCAAAGAGGCCGCACGTTCCCCCATCAGCATCACGACCCGAACCTCGCGCCGCCCCCCCCCCCCCCCACTTGCCCCACCCCCTTCGGCATCTGTGCTCCCCTCCCCTCCCCGGCGGCGCACCGCCGCCCTCGCCGGCGCCGATCTCCCCCCGGCGGCTCCGATCCCCGCGGCTCCGATCGCTCCTAGGCAAGTTCGTACGGGGCTTCTCGCTCTCGCTCTCGCTCTTTTGCTTCGTGTGGTTGGTTCCCCTCCTGAGTTGTTGATGTGTTGTTGGTGGTGGGGTAGTACGGTCGCGCTGCGGGTTGGCGAATTCATGGTCCTCGAGCTTCAAAGTTGGAGTCTTGAGGGGTTCGCCTGTTGATTAGGGGCCCGATTGTTATGTGGGTGGCTCTCAATTGGAAACATGGATGTGCCTGTGGACTGTTTCTCGACTTTTGGGGCAGAACTGAAGCTGATTAGGTGAAAACTTCTTGGGGTTGGATCGTTTTTTGGGGGGTGCTTCCGTGGTTTGATGCGATATTCGAGCGGGTTTTGATTTCTTCGAGCTGTCGTAGTTTTGGGTCTTCTTCCTGGGTTCGTGGGTCGGTTCCGTACGGGCCTGAGGATTTTTGGGAGATCTTGGTGACCGGAGATGGAGGCTAGAGTCGAGGCGCAAGCGCGTCATTTCTACGGGCTGCCTCCGGCTGACTTGCGTGCGTTGGGAAAGAGGAGTTTAGAATGGGATTTGAATGATTGGAAGTGGGACGGCGATCTGTTCGTCGCTAGGCAGCGGAATCCGGTTTCGTCTGATTATCCTGGCCGGCAGCTTCTCCCGCTCGAGAATCGGATTCCCGCAGCTGGCAATTCGTCCAATAGCTCGTCGTCGTGCTCCGATGAAGTCAATTTGAGAACTGATGATGGAAAGAGGGAGCTCGAGAAGCGTCGGAGGGTCATTGTTGTTGAGGACGATGATAATTTGGATGATAAAGCTGGCGGCCTCACTTTGAAGCTCGGAGGGCAATGTTTTCCAGTTCCTGAAAGGGATGTGGGATCTTGGGAAGGGAATAGTGGGAAGAAGACTAAGCTTGCTGGAGGTTCTACAAGTCGAGCAGTTTGTCAGGTAGAAGACTGTGGTGCTGATCTCAGTAATGCAAAGGACTACCATAGACGGCACAAGGTATGTGAGATGCACTCCAAAGCCACCAAAGCACTTGTGGGGAACATCATGCAGAGGTTTTGTCAACAGTGCAGTAGGTAAGTCGAGTGCCTGTAAGATCTTTACCGTATCCTTTCTTGCTATTTGCAGTATATCCACTTTATCAGTTGATGATAGGTTATAATTTAAAAAGACGACGTAAGTGCGGCATCCACCTTATTTTGTTCACTGCCGAAATAGCTCCGTTTGTCCTTTTATCTTATTTCGATTGATGATTTCCACTAAAGTTTTAATTTTTCTAATGCCGTCAGTTCCTTTATTCTTATGGGTGTCCTGATATGGTGTGTTCATGTGGAATCTGTCTTCATCCACTCTTAATGGGACAGGTTCCATGCCCTTCAAGAATTTGATGAAGGAAAGAGAAGTTGTCGCAGACGTTTAGCTGGCCACAATAAACGCAGGAGGAAAACAAATCCTGAAGCAACCCCTAATGCAAATTCCGTTAACGATGAGCAGGCTAGCAGTTATCTGCTGATGAGCTTATTGAAGATACTGTCGTCTATGCACTGTAAGTACTGATATGGCTCCGCCTTCTTGTCACCAGTTCTTGCATTCTTCTGCTGTTCCGCACTGTCTTTCATTGGTACCAGCATTTATTTCTTTTGAGATTTTCGTGGCTGGGGGACAAGTACTTTAAGGGTAAGCTACATTAAACTGCAATTAGATTTGCATTCTTGTAAATATGGCATCCACCCTGGTGCACAGTTCTTTTTTTGTTGTGTGGACTATGAAGAGAAGTGAAAGTACTCGGATGATTTGGTTGCTGGTCTGAAGTTACAAAGTGCATAACTTATGCTGGACCGAGTGGTATTATTTTTTGATACTGTCTTTTGTGGGTGCAGCCAATCAGTCAAAACAAGATACAGATCAGGATTTGCTATCTCATATTCTCAGAAGCGTTGCCAATGGCACTAGCGGGCATGGGGAAAGGAACATATCTGGCCTCTTACAGGAATCTCAAGTTATTCTCAATGGTGGAGCCTCTCTTGCAAAATCAGAATCGGTTCCTCCCATGTCCTCAAAGGGTGTTGAAGGACCTTCAAGGCTCGTTCAACCTCAAGCTGCAGGGCCTGCATCGCAAATACCAGCAGGTAGGTTTCTGTCTGGATAATAGATTCAGAGATAAAAAAACCAAACTCTCTTAGCAATAGAATTTGGTGTTGAATCCTTTGCAGATGGCAGAGATGCAACCGGAGGGCAGAGCAAGCTGAATAACTTTGATCTGAATGATGCTTATATTGACTCCGATGATGGCATGGAGGACCTTGACAGGTCGCCTGTCCCTGCAAATTTGGGCACCAGTTCTCTTGATTGTCCTTCATGGATGCAACAAGAATCTCACCAGTCTAGCCCACCTCAGACAAGTGGGACTTCAGATTCAGCATCTGCTCAATCACCTTCTAGTTCAAGCGGTGACACCCAGGTATTTACAGCTTCTTAAGTTTCCATCTGGTTCTTAAAGGTCTTCGGGTGGGATGCCTTTGTTTCACAACTAACTGCACATGTTATGCTCGATAAGATAGCGGGTGATCATGAAGCATTTAGCTTTTGCTCTATTGTGTGAGCTCTGTAACTTGTATGTTTCAGAGAATTCCAAGAGCTTACGTTACACTTATTTTTTTATTACCACAAGCTCGGTCACATCTGTCTCTGTCCAGCCTTATTTAAGTTGCACCTCTCGTGTACGCTTACTCTGTCTCTTCTTCTATTTCAGAGCCGGACAGACCGAATTGTTTTCAAATTATTCGGGAAAGAACCCAATGATTTTCCTCTTCTCCTACGAGCACAGGTACTCCTTAAGCCCTGGAATTGGTTTTGACAATAGCGTTACAGTTCTTTTATCTTCAGGAACTCTCATAACCAAAAAATGGTTGAATTTTCAGATACTCGACTGGCTATCTCACAGTCCTACTGACATTGAGAGCTACATTAGGCCTGGTTGTATTGTTCTTACAGTTTATCTTCGTCAAGACGAGGATGCCTGGGAGGAGGTGAGTTGTTATCTCTCGTTATCCTAGGGCTGATATTTCATTGTCCCTGACCACAGTCTGATATTGCCTTGTCTCTAATGAACTTAATTTAGTCCTACGAGCTGCTCTACTTACTCTCTCTTTTTTGTTGCCCATTGTAGCTTTGCTACGACCTGAGTTCCAGTTTAAATAGGCTTCTGGATGTCTCAGATGACTTTTTCTGGAAGACTGGATGGATGTATATCAGATTGCAGCATCAAATGGCATTTATCTACAATGGTTTGTAGAAGTTATAGTGTCTTAATCCCATCAATTAATATGCAAACGACTTTTTATGTATTGGAGAATGTGCATTCTGAAGTAATTTCACCATGCAGGTCAGGTTGTTGTTGACACATCATTGTGTCTTAGGAGTATGAACTGCAGTAGAATTATGAGCATTAGACCTATCGCCGCATCGTCTTCTGAAACAACTCAGTTTTTGGTTAAAGGCTTTAGCATGTGTCACCCTGAAACAAGGTATGGAAATTCATAATGTTGATAGACATTAAACTGTCATCCGAACATTAAGATGAGGTTAAGCTGACCTTTTGAGCAAGTAGCAGATGATGCTCATCAATGTTCTAATATTCTTCAATGTCATCCTGTTCAGGTTGTTGTGTGCTCTCGAAGGCACGTATCTAGTTCAAGAAGCAACTCTGGAGTTGATGGATGAGGAGGATAGCCTAGAGGAGCAAGATGAACTCCAATGTGTTAAATTTTCTTGTTCTATCCCGAGAGTGACTGGAAGGGGATTCATCGAGGTGTCTCTTTTTTATGATTTCTCTGAATTTAATGATATCCTACAAGAATGGACTTCATATCAAATGCAGTGAAGCATATAACTAGTGGCTTGTCCAGCCATAGATTGCATATTTAATGCATAAACTGGTTCAGATGCAAACGAGTTTTTAAACTGGTTTATTATATATGGTGGCCTAAACTTGTCTTAAAGTGAGTTGCTCGACCGAGAGGTTTTGTCTAAAGTGTTTGACTATCGTGTCTGCATTCGCATCGTTCTACATGTGTATGGTTGTTATGCCCATATATGAGCTGAGACGCATGTTTTGGAACTTGTCCAGGTCGAAAATTGTGGTCTCCCAGGCAGCTTCTTCCCTTTCATTGTAGCAGAGAGTGATGTGTGCTTGGAGATACGTTCACTTGAGAATGCTTTGGAGTTCATTGAAGCTGATGTGGATGATCATGGGACTTCGAAATTTGCAGCGAAGAATCAAGCATTTGAATTCATACAAGAAATGGGTTGGATTCTTCATAGAAGTGGGTTGAGGTCTAGATTGGGACAGCTGGATCCATACGCTGACTTGTTTTCATTTAAACGGTTTAAGTGGCTCATGGAGTTCTCCATGGATCATGATTGGTGTGCGGTGGTAAAGAAGCTCTTGGATATTCTGTTTGATGGAACAGTTGGTGCAGGGAAGCACCCTTCAATATATCGTGCAGTGCTTGAGATGGGCCTCGTTCACAGGGCTGTGAGGAGAAACTGTAGGCCTCTTGTTCAGCTTCTTTTGAGATACGTACCTCAGAGTGTCTCAGAAAGATTAGAATCTGAACTGAAGTCCCTGATCAATGGAAGTCATCAGAACCTCTTGTTTAGACCTGATGCTGTAGGCCCTGCAGGGTTGACACCTCTTCACATTGCTGCCGGTAAAGATGATTCAGAGGATGTACTGGATGCGTTAACTGATGACCCTGGAATGGTAATGCTTCTGTGACTAATATCTGGCCGAGTGCTTGTGATTTGTGGATGGAAATTCTGAACCTGAAACATAAATTCTGATAGCGTGTCGCCGTTGCATAATCAATGTCAGCAGTCTTGGAACCTCAACTGGTGACTTGAATTTTACTAGCATTAAGCTGGTAAGATCGTGCTTAGCAGAGAGAGAGAGAGAGAGAGAGAGAGGTGACTTGAATTTTACTAGCATTAAGCTGGTAAGATCGTGCTTAACACACACACACACACACACACACACAGCAGCATGATATTTGTGCCGATGACATCAGAGACAGAGAGAGAGAGAGAGAGCAGCATGATATTTGTGCCGATGACATCAGAGAGAGAGAGAGAGAGAGAGAGAGAGAGAGAGAGAGAGAGGAGCAGCTCAATAGCAGCATGATATTTGTGCCGATGACATCTTTACTCATCATTAATGTAGTCTATGTCGCTTCTGTGCATCTCTTCTCCAGTGTTGAACATAATGTGTAATTTTTGTGGGTTTAGAAATGCACACGGAACTGAGGGTTTAGCAATCCATATATTGATATCTCAACATGCCATTCAGGTTGGTATTGAGGCATGGAAAACTGCAGAGAGAGAGAGAGAGAGAGAGAGAGAAGCAGCTCAATGGCAGCATGATATTTGTGCCGATGACATCTTTACTCATCATTGCATGCTTTGGTATCTGAGATCTTTTAGTTGGTCTTTTAACATCATAGGGGTTAATGTAGTCTATGTCGCTTCTGTGCATCTCTTCTCCAGTGTTGAACATAATGTGTAATTTTTGTGGGTTTAGAAATGCATACGGAACTGAGGGTTTAGCAATCCATATATTGATATCTCAACATGCCATTCAGGTTGGTATTGAGGCATGGAAAACTGCTCGAGATAGCTCGGGATCCACACCAGAAGATTATGCTCGCTTGCGTGGCCACTACTCATATATCCACCTAGTCCAGAAGAAAATCAACAAGAGACCGTCACTGCCCCATGTGGTTCTTGATATCCCAGATGCGGTCCCAGACAGCAATGGCGCTCAGAAGCAGAATAAAGAAACCACGAGCAGCTTTGAGATTGGAAAGACGGAACTGCAGCTCGCTCATCAGAGTTGCAAGCTGTGTAGCCAAAAGCTGGCTTATGGTATGAGAAGCAGGTCACTATTGTACAGGCCAGCAATGCTGTCGATGGTGACCATCGCCGCAGTTTGTGTCTGCGTGGCTCTTCTATTCAAGAGCTGCCCGGAAGTCCTTTACGTGTTCCGGCCCTTCAGGTGGGAATTGTTGGAGTACGGATCAAGCTAAGGCCAGTGAGTTCGTTCCGTGATGAGAATAATTAGGTGTTTGTATTATTTGTATGCTCCTGTGAACTGTAAAGTTTGAGAATCTATGTAGAATTATTACTTGGAAAGATTGTAAGATTTCTTAAATGTACAATGGACATATTTACTCTCTCTCTACACCCCCACGACACCACCCACCCAAACCACCCCCCTCCCCCCCCCCCCCGGCGTACTCTTCACACTGAAGGATCTGGACGTCATTGGAGTGTTCTATCTACTTGTCCTGCTCAGTTTGCTTCCTTTGGCTTTGACCACTCTGAGTCTAAAAGCCACAACCAATTGTGTGCATGATAGGCCTTTGTTTCCAAGATTTTGAGAAATTCTCAGTTTGACATGTGGAACTCACTTGTTGGGTTGTCCTTATAACAAGTGAGGCTAAGCCTAGCTCAACCGTTGAGACTGTACAAGCCCTCATTTATTAAAGGGATAACCGCATTAGAAGTTTAAAAATTTATCACGAAAATATCGTCAAGTCATAAAATTTTGAAAAGTGCAATTAAGTCTGAAAATTTATCAAGAAAGTGTAATTGAGTCTAAAAATTTTCAAAAAATGCAATCAAGTTCTAAAATTCGTCAAATTTGTCCAATTAAGTCCTCTCTTGATTGCACTTTTTAAAATTTTTAATACTCGATTGCATTTTTGTGACAAGTTTTAGGACTAGAATGAATTTTTTGAAAGTTTTAGGACTCAATTGCACTTTTGTGACAAATTTTAGGGCTGGATTGCACTTTTGTGACAAGGATTAGGTTGGATTGTACCTTTCGTTACAAGTTTTAGGAGTCAATTACACTTTAGTTACAAGTTTTAGGACCTTTAATTCACTTATCCCTTCCTTAAATATAACTCAAAAGAGCAAAAGACTCTCAATCTTAGTATTTCCGAATATGAAAAACTGGGGAAGGGACAGATGGTGGACGTGTTCTTTCATGCAATTGTTTTCAATTTGGAATTGAAAGCCTCGAAGTTCGAAGAAGATATAGTAGTAATGCGTTGCGGATCTGGCTTTGTCATGGTACTGGAAATTGGTCATTTGTTATTCGTCCTCTGAAAAAGCAGTTTCATGACATCAATCCATCTTCGTTTTTCTTTTTGTGAGCCTAAATAAACCAAAGAATTCAACTTTCAAGAGTGCGACTCAAAGATAATTTATTCTTTGACGGATTTCTCCATTATGCAACACGTGGTGTGGGCCGAGTTGCTGCCTCTCGTAGTTTCGTCACGCGATAATACCGTCCATCGGGAGTAGGTAGAAGAGATGGTCGACGAACGATCTTTTTGTTCTCTCTGGTTACATTTTTGTTTGTCTGCTTTTTGTTTCTTGACAAGAAAGTATTGTCGGCTGAATGAGTAGGTAGAGAGTGAACACGACATGTACAAAACAACAGGCTAGGCATGGAAGAGATAATTAGCCGTTCATTAGTGTACCTAATCAGCCGTCATGCAATATTGTCTCAAGCTTGCAACCTCTTCCTGAGGTGTTGTCCTGTGTTCTTTCACTTTAGGAGTCGCTTGACAGAAAGTCATTAGATTCGTTTGCCGCCATCAATATTGGAGAATGGAGATTATAAGAACAAGTTACCTGATCCAGACGGCAAGTAAACGAGAAATCTTGAACGGTTAAATCATCAAATGCATAATCAACTTGTTCAGTCTTTCCAGTCTCGGCGTCAGGATGCATCCATTCTTGTACAGGGCTAAGTTGTAATAAGACATAAAAGCACATTAATCAGCAGAAAAGGGAAAAATCCAGAACCTCGTCATGTATGACTCCAGCAAAATCGAATCTAAAACAAGTGCTAGTTTTCTTTTAGTAGATCAAACGCACAAAAGGATAGATTAGTGACGCTGTCCATTCGGAAATGAACCGTAACCCTGCTTGCAAGAGATGCACTGTGCCTTTCATGTTTAGATTTCACGAATTTGCGGTCTATTTTGTCGGTTTCGGGCAACTTGTTTTTATCGGTGAATATGAACCTTTTTCATCTGAGAATAAACGAATTTCAATGAGCTAGTTATTAATCTTCAAGGGCATTTCTTGTTATTTTTCTCTTCAATGTATGTGGTGTGATATGTCTTGTGCATCATTTTCATATTATATATAGTCGAGCATTCATGGCTTAACTACATTTCTTCATCAGAGCTCGCCAATCAACTTCAAAAACATGGCTGCGACGAGAAAATCCATCACGTTACTTCCTATTGCTCTCGTGACTCTCCTGGCTGTTACTGCTTGCATCGGTCATTTCCTTTTAACCTTCACATAAAACAGCACAAGTATCGTTTGTTTAGCAGATATTTCATCCTTCTAACGTCAAGTTCGCTTACTATTGCAGAATCCAGGACATTTGATAATGAAAGGAAGCTGCAGGTAAGTTCCCCAACTTACTGTCTCCTATGGCTTGTTGTCCTAGTCCCTCTAAGCAGTTTCCTAGAGTCGCACTTCTTTCATCCTCCTGAGAAAAACCTCAAGTAACATGTTTTCTCTTCCAGGAGGCAAAAGAGACCAGTGCTACGTGGTGCATTGCGAAGCCGTCCACCAACAACGATAGGCTTCATGACAACATAGACTACAGCTGCCGCCATAGCGGGGTCTACTGTGAGCTGATTCAACCTGGTGGAAGCTGCTTCCATCCCGACAATGCAGTTTCGCATGCTTCGGTCGTGATGAACCTCTACTATAAAGCAGCGGGGAAGCACCCCTGGGACTGCCATTTCAACGGCTCCGCCATAATCGTAACAGCCGATCCTTGTAAGTGTTATCTTCAATTGTTTTTCATCAACTTCTGTTCACTTGATATACATCTCAAAGAGTTCAAAAGGGAAATTTCTTTTTCTCCCCAACAAGTTGGGGTTCTATATAATATTGGTAATTCAAGAAGTGTTGTCTCTCATATTAGGATTACAAGCTTTCGAACTTCGAAGAAACTCACGACTAAGTAAGCTTTTGGTTTTCTCTGACAGCCACTGGCAATTGCATCTATCCAGTGTAATGGCTACCGATGGAGAGCCTGAGAGTACGAGACAGGAGCAATATGAACTTCAATCTGACAAACCAGTGCCTTAGAGTTAATAATGTTTCTTTTTTCTTGATCATAGTTAATAATGTTTCTTTTTTGTTTGGTAGTGTTAAGGACATGTCTGTCTTCTCATCCAGCTATTGTAGTGGGTTTAAGAGAGGAAAGCTTGGATAGTATGGGCAAATAGGTATTTCCTCAGCAAGTGTTCTCCATTCATACCGATGACATTTGTTATGAAGTTTCACTTGCCATTTTTAACATTTGGGCCAAGCAGTCCTGTATCTGTGAGGTGGCGTGCACATTGCCTCACGAGAGAGAGAGAGAGAGAGAGAGAGAGAGAGAGAGAGAGAGAGAGAGAGAGAGAGAGAGGGCTAAGTGAAGAACTCCATGAGTATATTTGAGGACATCGCTTTGTTTAACAGCTTTTTTTTTTTTTTTTTTTTGGTAAGGTGTTTGTTTAACAGCTTTTAGTTCCAGCGATTTCATAAAAAGAAAAAAAATCCCGTGACACATCGAGAATAACCATATTTGATATGGCAAACAAATTACATATCAAGAAAGGCAAAAAAAGAAAGAAAGAAAGCAAGGGGCATTGCCCATATGCAAATCAGAAACAACATTAGGGCACTCATACTTTGCGAAGACATTGTAGCAGAAACAGGACAAGCAGATTATTCATCTACTATACTCTAGCAAGCATCACCAGCAGCGAACCACGATCGGGGTCTCAAGATTGAGGCTTCTCCCACTTGAGGGGCTTCACAACCTCCCAGGTGAAGTCGGGGTCGTCCCTTCCAAAATGACCGTAGGCGGCGGTCTTCAAGAACCTGCCATTGCCACCTCTCTTGAGGTCCAGGTTAATGGAAATCATTCCTGGCCTGAAATCAAAGCTCTCCTTAACAATCTTCAAAATTTCCCTGTCAGGAATTTTCCCAGTGCCGTAAGTATCGACGAAGACGGACAAAGGTTCAGGAACGCCAATGGCATAGGAGACCTGCACAATGCATCTACGAGCAAGCCCATTCGCTACGATGCTCTTAGCAGCCTGCCTGACGATGTAGGCACCACTCCTGTCCACTTTGGTGGGGTCCTTTCCTGAGAAGGCACCACCACCGTGGGCTCCCCAGCCGCCGTAGGTGTCAATGATGATCTTACGGCCGGTGAGACCCGCGTCACCATGGGGACCACCAATTACAAACCTGCCCGAGGGGTTAAGGTGGAAGATGGTTTTCTCATCGAGGTACTTCTCGGGGATGACAGGCCTAATAACATGCTCTTTGAGATCAGCAGCGATTTCGTCATTCGTGACTGTCTCATCATGCTGGGTCGAGATCAGCACGGTGTGAACACGGACAGGAACCCTGGCGCCATTGTCATTGTAGTACTCAACAGTGACTTGGGTCTTTCCATCGGGTCTCAGCCAGGGGCAAGTACCGTTCTTCCTAACCTCAGTGAGGCGTGCTCCGAGCTTGGTTGCCAGGACATGGCTCAGGGGCATCAATTCAGGAGTCTCATCAGTGGCATACCCAAACATGTGGCCCTGGTCACCAGCACCAATCTCTTCAGGGCGCTTGGTGAGGTGGCCATGGACACCCTGGGCAATGTCGGGGCTCTGCTGCTCAATGTTCACCAGGACCTTGCACTTGTCAGCATCTAGACCGACATCATCAGAGATGAATCCAATGGTACGGCAAGTGTCGCGAACAATCTTCTCGTAGTCGATGTCGCCCTTGGTGGTAATTTCTCCGAAAACCATGACCATGTTGGTCTTCGTGCATGTCTCGCAAGCAACCTTGCTGTCGGGATCCTGGGCGAGGCAGGCGTCAAGCACGGCATCAGAGATCTGGTCGCATAGCTTGTCGGGGTGACCCTCGTTCACAGACTCAGAGGTGAATAGGAAGGTCTCCATTGCTCCTGAGACGCGTAACAGGAAACTGCACGAGTTAAATCTCTAGTCCTATGCTTGTATTTAAGAGAGCTACACTTATATGAAGAAAGACTGTTCAATCAACACCTAAAGACAAGATTTTTTTCAGGTTCCTAAATGCCTTAAAGTTGGTTGATACTTCACCATTTAATGGGATACGATCTTTATACTTTTTCAGAAGTTCTTATCCACCAAAAAGGCAAAACTCCATTAAGAAAACAGGGGAATAGTACCAGATTCTTTAGGCACTACAAGGACGTGAAAGGAATTAGGAATCGAGTATCTACACTGATTCCCCAATAAAGAACTCAACCAGCGAAATCATCGGATGCTCGCATGTTTCTAGATAAACACTGTCCTAGCCTAGGTGGAAAAATTTGATAGAAACCTTTATGAGCGATTAAACAGGACCATTTGCTTTGGATGCATGGAACAATATGACAGATTCTGATCTGATATTTGATATTGCACTTAGATCAGTCACATTCGAACACGAGGAGTTCGGCCTAACACTTCATAAACCCATCTTTCATTATATTTGTAGAAATATTCTTTCTATTTCCTATGCTGCGAAACAACAGCCCGAAAAAGTGGGGTTTTAAGGCACCCATTTGGTAGACTCTCATGGAAAACAACCAATTGACACAGAATACTCCTAGACCCCTCTCAAGTTAACCCAAACAGCTAAAACAGAGGAACGAGATAATAAAAAATGCACTCGAAATCTGCTAGAGTTGACTTCAGTTACACGAGTAAAAAAAAAAAAGCCTTAGCTTAGCAAAAGCCCAAAAATGAAATGAACATTCAGTAAAATACCATACCAAGTGACAGATCCAAAATCGCTAAACAAGCACGTTATGTTCTATAACGAAAAACTTCAGCCAGTCACAGAGATACGCAATTACCAAAAAGTAGTCGGAATTCAAACTCTCAGATTGTGCCTACAAAATTCTAGATCTGCCCAACAAAATGATGCTTCGCGGGGACTTAGACAGGACTTCAAGACACCTCTCGCGCAAGAAAACAAACCAAAAAGCCGACACGACAACGACGACCCAGAACCAAATCCAGCAATCTTAAACCCAAATAACGAAAAAGTTACCATCTTGTATTGCTGCTGCAAGATCTGATGAGATAAGGCACAATGACAGTTAACGTGGAAGCGATGAAGAAAAGATGCTGCTCTCATGCCGTAAAGGCTATGGAGAAGAAAAGGGTACCTGTAGCTAGCGTTGTAGCGTAGGAAAAAATCTGGCTTTGTCCTCCCCCTGTTTTCCCTGCGCGGAGCAACCAGACCGAGGATATGACACAACGACGACTCTGTCCTCGGGCAACCCACGGATTTTATAACAATGGCCACAACCACCGGTTACCGGTCGGGGAGGTTGCGGCTCGTTCTTGCAGCGTTGTAGGAATTCGGGGATCTCACGGCTGGTGTTTCTCGCTGTGCCACAGCCGTCGGATCTTCCCAGTTACTTTAAGAGGTGGGATTGGTTGGGGTTGGTGAGACTGAGAGAGGATGATTGATGACCTCTTCTGTTTCCATATAATTAAAACCGGGGAAAGGTAGGAAAATCTCTTCCTCTCTCTATTGGCTGGCGTTTACCTTCCGGGAGCATATCAGGTTGAAGGTCACCGGGCAACGCCGGTTTCTCACCAACCACGGCCGGTCGCGCGGCTTACCGGCTCGAGCCCGCTGGCTCGGGCCGAGGGTGGATCCCACGGGTGGTCGGATTGACCACCGTCAACATCACGCGACAGCACGACTCGAACACAGCGTGTATTGTGTTAGAGAGGGAAAACCGAACCTAACAAGAAACGACGTTAATGCTTACGAATCAACGCGAATCGATACTCGGTATGGTAATTTTGGTGATGATTGGGCAATTCCGACGCGTCGGCCGACCACGAAGTTGGGGGGTGTGATAGGAATCAGCATCCGCTTCTCAAAGATAGAATCACGTGGAGCAAGCTTGCTCCTTTTCCAGACCTTTGGGTAGCGATGCTGTCCCGTCGTGCGAAATGGCGTGCCCCCCCACGAGAATTATTGTTAGAGGTGGGAGATTATAATTTGACCTGGGCTTCTGATATAAACGCTCCCAAACTTTGATGAATCCGCTTAATTAAGTATGGTTAAGAATAGTGATCTCTGTTTGATGCTAAGTAAAGTGAAAGTGAAAGTGAAAGTTTGTACCAACATCTTCGATTTCACATTAGCTGGGTTGGTCGGTAGAGCATGCTTTTTGGCAGACAGATATAACATGGTGGTGCCATTTTGTCACTGTACTGGACGGTGATGTTGGCAAAGGACTAGTTAAAGTTAAGCAACATTATGAGCAAATACTAGTTTTACTAGTTGTAACTTTGTCATGCTGCAACATTAATAGTACCGCCATCCGATTTAACGACGCCAATCAATCCTATGTATTCTCTTTCTGTGCTCGCGCCTACGACGACATGCGGAATATGACGATGGTCATTTTTAGGAAAACATGATCGTTTATATCCTTTATGAAAATGAATGAACGGAAGTTTTTTCATCATTCACGAAAACATTTAGATATAAATTGTTAATGATAATGAAGACATTTTTCCTTGGCCAATCTTTTCAAGCGATATAAACGATCATTTTTAAGAAAACGTTTTTTAAATCACTTAATTTTCTTGAAACAAACGGAGTTCAACACCGAATCCAATAAAAATCCATTTTTTTCATGGTTGGTCCTTCATCGAAAATTTTTCGTGGGTCGAACCAACCCTTCCTACTCAGCCGGTACCTTCACCTTATGATGTGGTAATAACTTCACCCCGTTTAAAACCCTACCATCTCCCGCGGTTCACAGCGTCCATTGCACGCGATAACCGATCGAATCGCGGCATTCGTCGAACGCATGCCCTTCGACCGAGTCCGGGACCAAAGACGGGTTGACTTTCCACCCCCGTCGGCGATTCTTCTTCCATTCTATCGATACGTAATCCTAATCCGAATCCCTCGCAATGCATCACAATCGATCCCAAAGCTATTCTAAAAAAGGAGATCTTCAAACTATCATGAAACCCACGACACGATTCCCAAACCTTGGAATTCTTCACCCGTTTGCTGCCCAAACGAGGTCAACCGTCCAAGGAGTCAAAAGTCGGACGTTGTTGAAGCACCACCATCGCCTCGTCGTCGGACGCGGGAGTTGGGCCACCAACCCGGAGCGACCGAAACGTCGCCGTCTCAGCCGGTTGGTGGAGCCGCCGCCGCAAGGCTCGGCTCGGCTCCTCCGATTGACGCGGCAACAACTGAAAACTGAAAAGGGGAAGGGGGGGAAAGTGGGGTGCAGTTGGGATTGGCCGAGGCTCCGGCTAGGTGCGGCATCCCGTCAGATCGACCCCGCACCTCCTCCCACGAGCTCGGGCCACCGACACGTGGCAGTCGCCCGGGGTTTGGTGGATGACGTGTCGGTCGGCAGACGAGAAGAACTCGGGAGGAGGAGGAGGGGCTTTTTGCTGAAGTTTCGCCATCCGACTGACTCAACAGCGCATGGAGCAGCCATTGACATTGACAGAGTGGTGGGTCCTATCAAATTGTCCGCGTGGACATCCACTTGTCATTCGTGACGCCATGTCCCCCGTGTGAAACATCTTGTTGTCTTTTTTAATCATCACAGGTAAGAATTCGGGGGGAGGAGGAGGAGGAGGAGGAGGAGGAGGATACCATGTCCTTCATGTGAAACATTTTTTTTTGTTGCCTGAGTTGCGAGAACCCAGGCGACGCCACTTGAATTCATGGGAACTTAGGCAATGTTGCTTGGGTTGCGTGACCCCTCCAGTGGCGGTTCCCGGCCTCCTTCTAGCTCCGGTCATGAAAACCATTGGGAAGATGAACAGTACCGGTGCATAGTGCCAAGATTTTGCATTCTGATAATGCTATTTTCCAAAGGACCTCTGAATCTATCTTGGGCCAAAGGCCTTTTGGAAATACAATTGCATTTCTTCAAAGTTGAGCAAACGACAAACCAAGCGCCTTTTGCATTTAGCCAAGGGACTTTAGAGTCACGAAGTCCATTTGCAATGATAAACCAAACGGGGCCATAGGCAACAAAGTGCAAATGTCGTGTTGTGACCAGCTTGATATTTTTATGTAATGGCATATGCAAAGTCAGCAACATGAAGAAAATGAAAAACAAACAAAACCTTAATCTTGAATCATATGCATTAAGAATTCTCCCCATTGTTCACCGCCCGCCCCACCACCGGCCACTGCCCTTTTCCCCTTATACCACCCCCACCGACGTCAATGATGTCGCTCGCCGTCATGCCGCCCGAATTTGGCGACCATGGCTGCCACGGGCTCAAGTAGCGAGCAGCCGTGAATGCTGCGAGCTCGATCTCGAGTGCTGATTAGAGAGAGCTATGTAGACGGCACATTCATCTTGTCCATTAGAAAAAAAAAAAAGACAAAAAAGCCCGATCGGGTAATTTTCTGGTGGCCTCTAGTCAATGGGAGCATAGTGAAATGGCTCAAGGACGACGAGTGGCGCTTTCAAATTTTGCAAAAACAGAAGGGAGCTCGAGGATAATGGGCTTGGCCTTTTTAGTTGGGCCAATGGGCCGTGATTTGAAAACTCTAAACTTCAATCGAGAGAGCCCAAAAGAAGAGAGAGAGAAGTGCGGTGAGCGTGGATCGAACACGCGACCTTCAGATCTTCAGTCTGACGCTCTCCCAACTGAGCTATCCCCGCCGGTTGTACTTGACCATTCAATATGGATTATTTCAAATAATAAAATAATTACATACATTTCGATTTGAAATGGGAATTTTTTTTTTTTTGGAAGAACATCAAACTCGCTGAACGTACAAATTCCATTTCCGCGCTTACATTAAAAAGGATCCGAATAAAGAGGAAACTTTTGCCGCATTCGAAAGTAAAAAAATCATCATCATCATCAATCCCAGTCTTCTTCAAACTTGGACCAGCTCTTCAAAGGCGTTCATGGCCGAGAGCGGCAAGGCCAACACCACCGCTATCCCCTCCTTCCCTTCCCCTTCCGGGAAGTACACGCACAGCTCCCCTCGCCAGGTCTCCGCACCCGAACTGCGACGGGTCGCCCCACCCGAAGTTCGACATCCCGTAGGCCAGCCGGGTCCGGGAGGAGCTGATCACCAGCGTGCCCACCGACGACAGCTGCGGCTTGTACGTGTCCACGAAGTCCATCCTCGACCGCACGTAGTCCTCGTCCAGCAGCTCCACCGCCTTCTGTATCTGCTCGACGGTGAACGAGATGGGCCCTCTCGCGCAGCTCCCCTACGGAGCAGAGGCTCGCGGCCGTGACCACGGCATTGCCGAAGTAGTGCTCGGGCAGCGGCTCCGTCTCGAACTTGGACCTGAAGTCGGCCATTATGCGGATCTTCGTCAGCTGGTGAGGCTTCATCCCCAGCGCCTCGTTCCGCGCGCGCCACACCAGCGCCGTGACGTCCGCGAAGCTCGTGCAGCTCTTCACCTTTCCCTCGGACACCGCCAGTTTCTTGGCGTCTTCACCTTCCCCTCGGACACTGCCGGTTTCATGGCCACCGCGATCCTGTCGGCGCTGAACACGAAGAGCTTGTGCACCAGGGGCTCCCGCTGGTACAGAAACTCGGTGTCCGACGTGTCGGTGATCTGAACGAAGTCGTCGTAGGGGTGCTTGATCTGCGGCGGCACCCGCGACTTCAGCAGGGTCCGGTTGTGGAAAGGGATGGCAGTCACCGGCTTCCCTCTCGCGATCTGGGCCCACGAGTTGACGAAGTTCATCCCGGAGACGCCGTCGACGAGGCTGTGGCTAATTCCGATGCCCAGGGTGAATCGACCGCACTTGAACTTCGTCACCTGATATTACCATGCACGTTAGGGTTACGGAGAGATGAGTGCGTGTGAGGCAACTACGGTCGCGGCACGAATAATATTTTTATTAGATCTTATATCGTCAGATCTTCGCTTTCCCACCGATCCACCACCATTCATCACTCACTCATAATTCCCTTACAAAGCCTCTTGATATTACACTAAGATCCGACCAGGTTGTAACTATTTGAATTGGGTTTACGAAAAGATGACGACATCTTTCGATACGGGGACGTGTTCGATAATCAATAGTCAACGGTCGACTAGGAAAGTGCACCAATCAGTGATTAAGTTATTGGGGCTCTGTATGGCTACAGCATCGTTGACCCTTTGTATCTTAATATCTATACGGGGAGAGTCGTGTCGAGGGCCCGTTGTTTTAGACACTAACAAGCGGTTTTCGTCGTTCAATCTAGCTAAGCAACCATGCCGAATGTTATGATTTGCTTCATATTCTCTCAAGAGGATAACATTTTCCATGCATTATTGATTTGAATAGAAGGTGCT